CAGGTGACTATGCAAAACTAAACAGCCCCAAGCTGCAATTCAGTGGGAGCATGTGTCTCCAGTTCTACTACCACATGTATGGTGCAGCCATGGGGACATTAACTGTGAATGTAGATGGAAACAATGTGTTCAACACAAGTGGGGATAAAGGCAATGAGTGGCTGAGAGCAGCTGTTAATGTAAATTTATCAGGAATGGACGTGGTAAGAGACCTACATGTATTATCCTCGCTACTGGAAGGTGTCTCGTTTACTGTATTTCAAATGTAATTGTTTAATTGTACATGTACAGTACCACGCAGAACTAAGCGAACCAAAATTCATGTTAACAAGGCGTTAATGTAAAGAGGTTAAAGCTGAGTTCACTGAAATTGTCTAGCTTTCAATCTGTTGTTTATTTTGCTGACATGAATGTTGTTATTTTCATCTGATACGAAATTTTTGGTGAGTGTGAATGCCACGCTTGGCTTGAGAAAAGAGCTTATGCGGGTGAACGAGTTCAAATTTTCAGGCGAACTAGCGATGGTTTGATGCAAAAGTGTTCGAATTTTTTTGTGATCTTGTCAACATCAGAGCACCTTATTTCAGTGGAAGAGGTTCAAAGCTGTATTTTCCAACTGCTCTTGTTAATTTGTTGTGTTTTGATTTGAATTTCGCTTCTAAGTGTGGAATTACTAAACATAAATCACCCATTTGTTCTAGCTGGAGTCCTGCTTTGTTCTCCATAACAATGCATCACAAAAGGAATATTGGTTATGAATAACAAAGGCTAACACATTGGCAAAAATGCGTGTCCATAACATGTTGGCAAAAACGTGTCTCTTAATTCTGAGCGGTACTATATGCAACATGCACAACGTACTGACTCACACAGCGCTATTTTAGTAAAAATATACTTGTTGTCCTGAACTTTGTATCTAATTAAATCCTCTGCACCATCGCTTAAGATCAGAAGGCCTGTAGTGTAGCCAATCAGAGAATTACATTCCTAATAGAATGCTTACCTAGTAGATTTATGCTATTTAAAATAAACTACATGTATCTTTAAATATCAAGGCTGTGGTCTAAGAAAAATTATGATGAGCCCAAAGGTACGTACTGTAACCATGAAATCCTGGGTTCCCAGCACTTAAGCTTATATGAAAAAGAAGGATTTTCTGATTGTCCAAAGGTGAAGTTAGTCACCTGTGACACGCAGGAGCTTCTAGAGCACAGCCCTGAACATGTCACTAAACATTTCCTTTGATCTTTTTGTTTTTTGTTTTTTTTTACATATGGCATTCAGAAAATGATAATACTGTATATACAAATAACAATGGATATAGAACACTTGTCTTTCAATTAATTGGTCAAGAGCCGGTTAACTCTTCAAGTACACAGTTGCTTGAGAGATTTTGATATTTTGGTAACTTTTAACTGACTAATTGCAAATAACAAGTGCCACCATGCCATTAGTAGCCAATTTGTCTTGTAACATTGTGGTCGGTCCTACATGTATTCAAATTTTTTGTATAACGTTAAACCCTAACTTCCATCTCTTGTAATGATTGTAGGTTACATTTGAAGGCATACGGGGAGGTAGTTACGAAAGTGACATTGCAATAGATGATTTTCTGTTGGAGTCTGGATCTTGTTCTTCAAGTGAGTACTTAAAAGACTAGTGTTCAAAACTAGCGTTCATAGAACATTTTTTGATGACTGGATTGAGTATTTTTAAATAACTAATAGTAACCTAAAGGACTGGAAATTCTAGGCTAGAAACTGAGCGTAAGAAGTATAGGATGTTGCTGGGCACTGCATCCCTAAAAGCCCCAGCTAGATCATCAGAAATTCAGAAATGTGATCTTGAGACAATACTTGAGGAAACTGTTTCAATCGCTGTAACAAAGTTTTAAAAGTAAGGGTCCTGCATGTATATGTAGAAAGTCAAGGACATAAGAGACCTGTGTACAATCATCCAATGATTTTACTCAGAATTGCCATGATTGAAATTGCTAACTAGGCAAATCCCGTGGATTTTCCTGGGAAAATATGTACTAATTGCCAGTAACTTGCTCAACGTATTCCCATACAGCAGCAGGAGTTTCCCTATCAAGTTTTTTACTCATCTAGATATGAACAACCAATCCCTAGTGCACCTTTATCTCTGCTAGGCCACGGAAGCAATCATTGCATATTTTTCCATATTTGTTGGTCTTATGAATTATTGGTCCCAGATTCCCCTTTCCCCTTTGATGAAAATTACATGTAAACTGAAGAAGTTACATATTAATAAGCAGAAGTAAAATTGGACCATAACATACATGTAAAAATATTACACATATATATGTGTATAAGGGGCCATGGTTAATTCAATATTATTGTTAATTATAATTTAATATATGCTTTTTAGCTTACTGTGTTGATCCTGGAACTCCGCTGCATGGTTCTAGGAATGTTAGTAGTAGAGATGGTGGATTTCCTGATGGGACAATAGTTTCTTTTCAATGCAATGCTAACTATAAACTCAGTGGAGCTAAAAAGATTCTGTGTGCCAAGGGAAAATGGAGTGAGACAAAGTTACCTCTGTGCGTATCGCAAGGTATGTGTTTTTTCTTTTTCCTGGTACTAAATGAATTGCAGATTATGCTAACCCATTGACTCCCAGAGCTTTTTGCCAAATATGCATTTTTTGGACATTTTTGGAAATTTTCAGGCTGGATATGGACCATATTAGCTCCAATTTACTCAAAAATACATTTGCAACATGACAACATGCCTTTCTTTCCACTAGCATCGTGTTTTACGACATTTTTGCTTGGGCATGTGCAGAAATGACCTATGACTTCAGGCTTTTCGTTTTTTTTAAAAAATTTTTTTTTTTCACCTTTTCTTTTTCTTCTTTTCTTATCTTTTTGCTGCAGTAATTGACCTTCTACTGGGCTCCCTTCCAGTTCAAAAAATTCTGAGAAAGCATCATCGAAATGGGTAATTTTTTGCCATGGAGCAGCCACATGTAGTCACAGGAAATTTTGCTCTGAGTTTTTCACTCAAATTTCTGAGCATTTTCATGCATATTTCAGGCTCTGTTGAGCCGATCACTCTGATCTGGGTATCATTGGAAAGATCTTTTCTTCCTGCAGAAGTTGAGTATAGATGATGCCAATTGTTGTCAAAGGTGATAATGTCAGAAGTGGAACAAAGGCCAAGGCTCGTCACTGCCGGTTATGGGTGACACGGGCAGCATGGGAGTCAATGGGTTAAGATTGTATGACAATTGATTTGCATTCCCAGCATCTATCATGAATAACTTGATGCATGTACTAGGTTGCTCACATGGCTGTCATTAAGTTTTAATTCACCTGTAGCCTTGATCTTTACACCCGTAGTAAACTTGCACTTGTTACCTTATGGGTGAATTGCATCAACTACAGGCCAGTTCACCCATGACATCAAGGGTCCATCAAACATACTCAGCCATAACAGGTATTATGGGTTACGGCCCTGGTTACGGCCGTGGCTGATGTTCCGCAACCCTGCCCACTATGTATTGGATCCTTTTTTTGGCAAAGGTTTATTATAGTCTGTCGAGCTCTTTAAATCTGAGAATTTGGAATCTAAATGGATTTTTCTAAACTCCTTTGACGGGATATTTATGGGTGTTGGTTTCAAGAATTTCATGTGTATGTGAGAAGTTACAACTTCCTGGGGATCTAAATGAATGAGTATCAAGACAAATCCGCATGCAACGTATATAAGTATTGTAGTAGATGTCATCATAAGGGTTTCAGTTTCCAAGGAAGACATTTTGCGAGGGTATAATTTGACACCCAGGCAAAAACATGCTTAATTATGACAAAAACTAATTCTCACACACAGCTGGGAGCCATGCCGGTAAATATGCTCCTGGGATTATATGTTGCAAAGAATGCCAATAACTATCAAAAATGAAAACTCACAGCCCAGCAAGGGTTTTGCTAGAATGAAAAGAGGGAACTAATTAAAATGATCTTGAGAAAGTATCAAGCTAGAATGGTGGGTGGGTGGGAGGTCAGGTAATGGTGGACAGCAACAAGAAAACTGGAAAACGACCAAGGTTCCATGTAACCTGATCTCCTGCACACTAGCCCAGAAGTGTGTGAGAAATAACGTTTCCACTTCTTTCGTTTCTTCAGCCAGTAGGAAACAAACCTTTTTTTTGTGATGAGAGATATTTTTGTTTATGAACTTGGATAATTCACTAGATTTGAATTTGACAATGAAATACTCAGTCAATTGATCAAGTGATTGATCACGTGATTGATTGACCGATCAATCGCTTACTATAGCTGATTGATTACTCAACTGGTTGATTGATCAGTTGATTGACTGATTGATTTCTCAATAATCAATTGATTGCTTTATCATCTTTTTGCAGTCTGTATCTTGCCACCACCTACATTTGCTCATGCACATGTCAGAAGCAATCCAGTGCCGAACACCAAAGGCAGCTATGTTGAGTATGCCTGTGATTTAGGCTACGTGTCTGATCACCGCCCAACTCGCCTATTGTGTGATAAAGATCCCAAAACACTAGGATACAAATGGAGTGGCAACTTCACTTGTGAAAGTGAGTACTGTTCTATGCACCCTGATACAATAAAGTGCCTTGAGACTGGGTAATAAGCATTTAATGACTGGCCTCAAGGGAAATAGTGAATTTTGTTTCCCTGAGGCCTTCAATGTTGAATCCCCGAGGTGAGGCATTTTCCCATGCCTCCCAACTCAAAAATAGATCAAACTGTAAGTAATAACATGTCATTTCAATAGCAAAACTCAATGACAGATGTTTCTGTTACTTTACGGCCCATGTTGGTTCCCCGTGGAGGGGCACCAACATAGCGTCTCCACACAAAGCTCTATAAGTTTGGGTGAAACACTTCTCTGAAAAACGCGCGAATGAAAAACCACACAGATCTAAATCTTGACCAGGTTGTTTGTTTTCATATGTCGAAAGATTCTTAACTTAATATATTGAATGGTTACGATTGTTATTTTTGATGGTGTGACTGTGGAAATCAGCGATAATTTGTGCTGGACTGAACAATGTCAAAGTTATTAATATATACATTGCAAGTGTGGACAGACTGACAAAGTTAATGCGTCAAGGGAGTAAAATGCATTAATGTCGTGAGCATGACCTCCAGAAGTCAAAACCTACAAGACATATTTTTATTGATCAGTTAAATGAAATGCTTTAAGCCCCAGCCAAACAATTGCAACATTTGAACGCAACATATCGCAACATTGTTGGGTGCAACATGTTGTGCACGTTTGTCACACTGTTGCGATGTGTTGCGACATGTTTGGTGTTGCAAATTGAACTAGTGCGCACGCCTTGGCGAAACATTGTTGCACGAACCTGGCCAAATGAGTAAACAATAAGGAAACTTGCACAAAGGTTGCATGAAAAATTTGACCATTTTCAAACTTGAGCTAATAACACCCACTGTAGCAACATGTCACAACAGGGTGACCAAACGCACGCAACATGTTGCACCCAACAATCTTGCGATATGTTGGGTTGAAATGTTGCAATCGTTTGGCTTGGGGAGCGAGTCCGCGAGATGGTCTGCGAGCGAAACGATCCGGCAGGAAGAGTCTGGTGAAGGGCGTCAAATTAGTCTCCTCGCGACTTTGCTGCTCGCACCAGTGCTGGCTGGACTTTTAAGTGCACTGATGCTACAGGTACATTGTGTAAAAGTAGTGTTGTAATATGCCATGCATGCGCAAGGCTGTGATGCCAAAATGAAAAGTCTGGCAGACTTTTTGAAATTCTATGCCGTTCTTGTCGTGGAAAAATTGCTAAAACTAGTTGCAATTTGCTCTTCCATCAATAATTCACGGAATATCTTCACTTTGGTGTTCTAAGAGCCTTTTATGAATGACCAAAGGTAATAATTAAAATAATCATTAAAGATTATTGATATTGCACCTTTTAACATGCAATGATCAGTGGCACGTTACATCACAAATTCTGAAAATTATATCAAATTTTTAAAAGCTAGTTTA